CCAGTAAGATTTGATAATTTTTCGCCTATGTCTAATTATCCGCGTTTTCGCAAAACCCCTAGGATTTCCGCGAAGATTCGAAGTATCAAATTATCCTACGACATATATACTATTTTACTTCTTCATAGAATTTTAAAAAGATGAATCGTGGAAGCAAATCAACTTATGCCTCAAAATATTTCGTAAAAAATTATATAGTTACTTAATTTTATTATTAACATAAATAATTTATTTAGTAATTAATTTAATTTCAATACTAAATAATAATACAGTGAAACCTGGTTAAGTGAGACATCTACTAAATATATAGATACTAAATTATATTACATAATTTATTCTCTCATTCCCCCATACAGTTAAGGATAACCTAGATTTAGTTGCCCTTATTTCTTATGATCAATCTCTACTGACTGATTGAACTGAACTATTATCTTTTACAGGAAACCGAAGTATCATGCCAAGGACTCCGAAACTACAATAATGCGCCAATAGCATACGCTGACAATGGCAATGATGATGACATAGGCCTCCTGCTCACAGTACTACTACTCGCGACGAGGAATAGAGGAAACTGCTGCGGTTGTTGCAGTTGTGGAAACAACATACCCATACCGTACCCCATACCGATACCCACAAATAACCCTATCATCACAACCGTATCCAGAAGGAGCCCTAGCAACGGAGGGGATTCACAAGAACCAGAAGAAATCAACATTTCAACTGTAAACAATTCAGAATCAGAATCCGAATCAAAAGCCTCAGACAAAACGAGAAACACCAACGACAACGATGCAAGTTCTATATCGTCGTCAGGCTCTCGTTCCTAGTTTAAGCAAATTAATACTCTAACCCAATGTATTTACGTCATCAATTTAAAATGATTAATAAAACACGATGAGAAAGCGGTCATAAATTTTTTTATTGACAGGCAATTTCCCAGCACACTCCCCGTTTTAATAGTTTGAGAGCAAAAGTAGATTGATGTAAACAATTTGCGATATTAGTTCCAGTTCGAAGGTTATTCTGATATAGGTCAAGTTTTAAGTGGAATGGATTAACAGTACAACACAGAAACACATGGTCAGTCAAGGCCCAAGGCATCTTATAACTAACTAGCGACCCGCCCCGGCTTCGCACGGGTGCAATATGCATGTGTTATACATATAAATTTTCCTTAAGGATCACTCCATCTATTCTAAAAACCGCATCAAAATCCGTTGCGTAGTTTTACAGATCTAAGCAGACATAGGGACAGGACAGACAGACGGTGGATAGAGAGTTTTATATTATGTAGTGATTTGAATGCATCAAAATTAAATATAAGAAGATTATTGCAGAATCAATATAGTACCTACGCTATTCACAATTTTCCGATCGGACGAGTCACAATCTTACATACGATCTTGACGCAACTTATGTAAAACAACTGTGTGTGAACAACTGCCTCGTTGGCCGAGTGTTCGCAAGTGCAACTGCCGGGTTGGATCTCGGATTCGATTCCCGGGTCGGGCAAAGTATTACGAGGTTTAAAAAAAAATCTCAGTAGTAGCACGGAGTCTGAAATTATGCCCGGAAATGGCAACAGACTCACCCCCTATTACATGGGACTTATAACATAAATAGTGAAAATTGGGTTTTACCTACATTGTACGGTGGCATTAAATGCCGTAATGTTCACCTCTGCCTATCCCTTCGGGATAAAACAATGTTTACGACAACAAATCTTCAGAAAACAGCATTTGACAAAAAACTAGGTAATTAGTAATTGTATGTTAACGCCATTGAAACTATCTATCCGTTTACGTAGTCATGGTTTATATCACACTGCGTCACTTATCGGTAGCAATCTCGTTTAGCATTTATATTGCTCTATTAGATGATGGGAAATTGTTTACAGTCGGTTTAATGTATTCATTTATCTTTATGTGGAACAAGACGATATTCAACAATGTATAACATGATTCAAGGATCCAGTTAGTATATTTCAGTAACCTACATTTCAACCTGAAGAGTGTCCCAAATGCTTTGTCGATATATGTATGAGACACAATAAAAAACACATTGCGTCTCGCATAGATATCTGTTCTAACTCTTCACAGGTTAATTCTTGTCTCTGCTACGCTTAATGCTCGTCTAGTTTAGTAAGTATACAGTATCTCCTGTATACGATACTTACATCTTTAGTACTATGTCTCAAAAAACAAAAAAAAGAGACAATAAATGCATCTAGCATCTAATTCTAGTGGTTGTTTGTGTTTTTACCTGTAACATAACATACAAAGGTTGATATTTTCATTTTTCCGAGCGCAAGATGGCAGCGGCCTGAATAGACAAACAAGAGTTGGATTGTTTTCTCTTAATCTGCCCCGATCTATTTTTTATAGCCGGCCAGCTGCAAGATATTGTAACAGCTTGAAGATGAATATTCATGATATACAGATCAGGATACAATACGTAACCTAGTTAAAATTGAAAGCCAAAATATTGAGTTTGTTTTAACCTTCTTAGTAATTCTTTTGATTACATATTTTTAGCATGACATAGCAAACATGAGTATATGTTTTTAGGCCCCGAAAGAGCAAAGACAAAAGGGTGGCAACTACAGTATTGTGGGCATTGTCCATATAGTGTTGTTGTGGTATGTCGTCCATATCCAGCGCAGATCACTTACCATCAGATGATCCAACAGCTTGTTTACCGAACAAAGTTTATTAGGTACCCACACAATGTAAAAGACTTTCAAATTGATTAATGTTATATTTTTATACTCTACGATAAAACACACTTTAAGATAATCTTACTTCGAAATACTTCATTCTTTCATATACTTAGTCCGTCTATAGGAACATCCTACCAAAATGGAAGACGCAAAATAAAAATGGTGCTCGATTTTTTACAAAGCTTTCACATGATTGCGTGTGTAAAAGAATACTTTTGTCTGAAACTCAAATAATTTTGATCGTTCTCGCCTTTTGTGTTCAGGAGAGCATAATATTAACATCACAATAATTCTAAGTTATCTTTACTTTGATATTAAAGTTAAGAAATTGATTCTAAAAAGTAATCGTGAAATGTTAAATGTAATGTTTTAATCAATTTAATAAGATACGATGAACTGTTATTGGTTTTTTAGAGGATTGGATTAATAATCTTAAAGCTTTTTTTTTTTTTTTTTTTTTAAGGGGGGAAAATCATCGAATGACTGCCCCCGCCTGGGTGAGGCGGGAGGGAGTGTCAGACTCTTACTGACTAAAAACCACCCCGTTCCTTCTCCTGCACGTCGAGCCGGAGCCCCGGTTACCCGTTAGGTTCTCCGCGACTCCGAATCGGCATCGGCCCTATTGGGCCCCATCTGTGGTGGTCTGATGGCTCTTTGAGGCGCGCGCGGAACGCGACGCGCCGCACGCTCGGGTCTGTTTCTGGTCGGACGGGGAGCCACCCATGCTCGCCGTCCGCAGGCCCGCGCTTACGGTGGCCGGAGATCGTCCCGCGATCCCCGACGCCCGGTGTGTCCTTCGCGATGGCTGGGTTGCGAGGAGGCAGCGCTTCGCTGCCTCACGCGTCCCGCCTCCTCCTTAGCTAGCATGACTGCTTCGCAAAAGGAGGAGACGGCATCCCAATCCCCCTCGCTCCGCATCATGGCCTGCACTAGGCCCGGACGCGAGAGGTCGCCATCGCCGATCACTTCCCTGAGGACACGGCGGTGCTCAGCCCACGAAGGGCATTCTCCCACCGTGTGTTCCACCGTGTCCTCAGGGCGGTCCTCGCAGTGATGACACCCGGGCGTTTCCTCCCGCCCCATCAGACACAGGTACCTCCCGAAACTTCCAAGTCCGGTGAGGACCTGCGTCAGGCGGTAGGTGAGGACGCCGTAGCGTCTCTCAAGCCACTCCTCAAAGAGGGGACTTACCGCTGCGATGGCAGCGAGCCCAGCCCTCGGTTGCGACAGCCGTTGCCGCCATTCCGCCATGAGATCGCGCCGGAGCTCATCCCGCCACGCACTTATCTGGCGCGGCAGCGGAGTTTCGCCCCGGCGACATGCCTCCGCGCGCATGCTGTGCACGCGCGCGAGCACCTTCGCCTCCAGATCCCACGGCGGTAATCCGGCAAGGAGGTTCGCCGACTCCCCAGAGATCGTGCGGTATCCGCGGAAATAATCTTAAAGCTAAGTGATAGTAAAAGGTCTCGTGTTTGACGCCGGGATCGGCATTCAGTAAAAATATACAATGTACAGAGCAAGATCGGCGCTCAGTAGAAACATACAATATAAAGCAAGGGGCTACTGAGACAGAAGATCTGACGCTGCACTGTATTTGAGACGAACCTATTGTGACTTGTGATCTATTTCTTTTTTAGTCTTCAATCTTCATAAAACTGTATGTGATACCTGTTCCACCAAATATTACATTCAGCACACTTTTAAAGGGTTGAAATTTTTTTTATTTCATCAAATGACAATAACATTAAACGTGGCAAATTAAATTCAACTTTAATTAGGTTCAAAGAGGGAACAGTTTCAATTAATCTTTGAAGCATGTCGGTGAAGGTCGAGAGTCATCAGAAACACTTCCTAAGCGTGTGTACTAGACGTTGGTATTGTTCAGGGTTCAAGTATAAGTGCTAAGTTCTTAACTTTCGAGAGCGACCGAGTCACCAAGTGACAGCTTGCTTCTTACTTAGTCGGCTTGTCGATCAAAGTATGAAAGCAGAAGAAACAATTTTCTTGATCAATACATTAAATGTTACGCTTTTTTAAACCACCGAGGGGTAGGTAGAGAGAGAGTGTACTCTTGTATACGTTCACTATTTACAAGTTGTGTTATGATTCTTGGAATAGGGATCGATTCTGAATGAAATATGTTTTTTATCTCTTTCAATATCTATATGACAAACATATAACATCACGCCTTTTATTCCCGAAGGGGTAGGCAGAGGTGCACATTTCGGCAATTAATGCCGCTGTACAATGTAACACCCATTTTTCACTATGTATGTTGTGAGTCCCACGTAAGCCTATTGAGTAAGGTGAGCCTATTGCCATATACCGGACACAATTGTAAACTAAGAATTTTTTAAACTCCCAGTAGTGCCTTGCCCGACCCGGGAATCGAACCCGAGACGGCAATAGCATTTGCGACCACTTGGCCAACGAGGCAGTCTGTATGACAAACTTGGTTAAAATTACGGGTGTTTTTAATCGGATAATTGATAACTATATTCTATTAGGTAAATGAATATAGGTCCTATCTTTACGTTATCTGTAATCGGGCATTCCGCTAGATTTCCATCGAAGGGACGTGACGAGATAACAAAGACTGCCACATCTCACGCGCAGATAAATGATACAAAGATTTGGTCTCCGATTACATCACATCGACCAAATAGATATAATTAGTCGTATATAAGAAGAAATAAAAAGACATCGAACAGATTTACAAGATGGCCGTTGCCAAACTATACGGCACGTTTGTCCTGCTGTTATATCTACAGGTAAATGTTTTTCTTTTTGGTTTTATTTGAGTTATTTACTATTTTCGTTTATAACAATATTATTATTTGTATTTCCAGGAAAATTACGCGCAACAAGGCTTAAATAACAATCAAAATGTTGGTGTTAATAGTGCAATCGGATTCCAACAACAGCCGACGCAGCGGACGAATACATTAAATAACGTGAACCAGATACCGACCGGAGGATTAAACGTAAACGTGCTACAAGGTAATTTGCAACCCAACGGTGGGAATATACAGCAGCAGCTGAGTCTCCCAGCCAATTTGCAGCCGCAAGGCGGATCCGGGTCACTTACTAATTTACAGTTTAACAAACAAGGACTAGCTCAGTTACCTCCAGGATTTGTTATCAATCCGACTAAATCCCAGACTAACTGCCCGCAGATCAATAACGTTTGCAACCAGAATACTCCACCACAGATACAACAAAACAATGTGAACGTTCCTTTCCCTAATTCTCTTGCGGAATTAGCGGCCCTTAAGGGTCCTTCGTTGTTATCCCTTTTTGCATCTCAAATTAATGGCCAGCCTCAACAAAACCAACCTATGGCAAACTTCAGTCCTACTCAGAATCAATTAACGGACATACAAAAACTAATATTAGCTCGTGCTATTCAGGGGCCAAATCAGCCTTGTAATATTGCTCAACCACGATCTATGTTGGATAGTAGACCAAGTGTCACTATTCAGGGAGCACCCATGGCACAACAGCCTCAAGCTATCGTGACTCCAGTAGGTCAGCCACCGTACATAGCAGTGCAAGCACAGCCTCTCCCAGCATACATCCAAAATCAGGCAGTTCCAGTAACAGTGGTGGAAGAACCCTCAGCATTATCCTTCATCTTATCAGATATCCAACCAGATGCTCAATACTTCTATCCTCCTTACCAAGTACAGAAGAGGGAGTCAAAATCTAATCTCAAATCTTTGATACCGTTAATAATAGATCTGTTGAAAGAGAAGAATGCTTGCGGCTGCCGAAATTGTGGGTGTCCAAATAATGAAATTAAAAACAATATACCTGAGCCAACAATCTTTGGTGGTTACTCCAATATCGTGGATAACAGAGCAGCAGAAAATAAAAAGGGACATGAAGACGAAGACGGTAAAAAAGAGAGTAAAGGAAAGAAGAATTTAAAGAAGAATGTTGAAGATGTTGACAGCGAAGAGGCTTCAGAGGAAGATGACTCGGATTATGAAGATGACAGCACAGGTGATTAAAATTTTGTGAACAAACATAATTAAAAACTGTTTTAAAACATAGCTATAGTTTTTAATTAGGATTTTTGTACGTGATAATATGTAAATTAAAAGAAAATAAAAGATATTAATTTATTATAGTTTATAGAAGATGTTATTGAAATGAGAATTTGAATGTTTTATGTGTTCCATTTGTAAATATTGGGTATAATAAAACAAGATCGTTTCAAATTGAGTATTTTATTTATCCTGTAAGCAGAAACTTGCTAATCACGCTTATAGAGTAAGGGAAAACAACATCATGCCTAATTTTCCCCAAGAGATATACAGAGACAGAGGTGGTTATAAATGTATCACCCAATGTGGCATTTATTCAGCTCGAAGTCCCGTGTAAAAAGGGGCGAATTTACAAGTACACTAATGTCGATATACTCAAACGCTACGAAATTTTAAGGCGCGCTTAAATACACTACAATTTCTTTGTAAAATGACAGACATTTTTTTTAAGGGGGGAATATCATCGAATGACTTCTCCCGCCTGGGTGAGGCAGGAGGGAGTGTCAGACTCTTACTGACTAAAAACCACCCCGTTCCTTTTCCTGCACTTCGAGCCGGAGCCCCGGTAACCCGTTAGGTTCACCGTGATCCGTGGTCCGTGGTGGTCTGATGGCTCTTTCAGGCGCGCGTGGAATGCGACGCACCGAAAATGACAGTGATGGTACGATATTTAAGTACAATTTAAAATTGGGTAACAATTTAGTATTCGGGCATATTCTCAATAAAAGATTTTAGTATTAATATTGAGAATTTGAATCTACAATAACGATGCGCATTTTAATCCCGGAGGTATAGGCAGAGATGCACATTATTAACAATCTATGTGACACCCAATTTTCACCAGTTATGTTAGGATTCAACAGTATGTATGTAAACATAAATTTCTCATTACAAAATAACTATAAATTTCACATTTGCTCATTTCAATAAGCACCAATGTTAACTGTTTGTAAGTACGTCAATTTGAAGCGTGCACACACACACACACACACACATACACACTCTCACACATATGTGACAAGTATTGCCCATAAGCTAGGAAATATGAATCGTAACAGCTAGACGATGTGGTCCTGAACAATGTTTGCCGCCATTCATTACAAGAAATTGATTATCATACTATTTGAGTTCTAGTGTTAGTTTACGAGGTTTCTTGCATACATTATTTAGTATTGATTCACATAAAACTTTCACTCAGACTCTCTTATTGGTCTAAATAAATTATTCAAATTTTTGCAAATCGGAACAGTGTGATCAGATCCTGGATTCGATTGAGCTGAAACAATTTTGAAAACGTACACATGTAGTACTTACTTATCATATAATATCATTATAATATCGTTATAATGATATTATATGATAAGTAATATCATTATAATGTCGTGGTGGCCCGGAGGTTTAAGACGCCCATTTCTCATGCATAAGGGTGCGGGTTCGAAACCTACCAACGGCAAGTACCAATGTGACTTTTTCCGAGTTATATGTACTTTCTAAGATTATTTAGACACCACTGACAAACGGTGAAGGAAAAACATCGTGAGGAAACCTGGACTTATAATTTCTAATTATAAGTTTGAAATCGCCAACCCGAATTGAGCAAGCGTGGTGATTAATGCTCTAACCTTCTCTGTGTGAGAAGAGGCTTTGCTCAGCAGTGGGCATTTATAGGCTGTTGATGATGATGATGATAATATATATTATTTGCGTGTCTGTCGAGCGAGATTTCTCGGGTTTGATTCTCATATCGAACAATAATCATATACTTGTCCAACATTATCTACAACTCGTAACATAACTAGCGAAAACCATCGATGTATTTACGCTGCTTATCCATCAGATGAATGAAAGACGTAATGGCATCTGAATACAACTGAAATTAAACTAACTTTCATAAGTGTGGGAGAGCCATGCTTCGGCACGAACGGGCCGGCTAAACCGAAGTGATACCACGGCCTCACAGAAAACCGACGTGAAACAACGCTTGCGTTGTCGTGAGAGTGAGGTTACCGGAGACCCAATTAGCCCCCTCCTTCCCTGAGTCACCAACAATCCTCAAACTCCTATTCCCCAAAAGGCCGGTAACGCACTTGTATCGCCTCTGGTGGTCCAGCTTATCCCATAAAAAATCGGAGATATTTAATGACAACTTAAGCTATACATTAGCTATGATTTTGTTCCGAGAACAATTGCTAAGAACTGGGTTAAGTTTAACTACTAAATGACTCTGAGTACAGCGGTAAATGACCTTATCATCTTTACTGACGCATCCACTTCTATAGAAGTGAACATGTCAACTATAATAATAATGGAACTAATCGTTTAACCAAAGATTATTTTTAATTAACTCAGAAGTGACTCACGATGATAGAGCTTCATCACACCTGTCTATCTTCGAGACTATACATTCCAATAAAACAAAGACATATCTTTAAAACAAAGAAATATTTTTGGTATAAAATCTGAGGGATTGAGTTTGACAATCATAGTAACTACAATGGTGTCTGCAAGTTTCATCATAATTCTCTCTGTGGTCGTCGGATTTAATGTGAGTTTTAAATTGATTTTTCCATTTCTAGAAGTCTAGTCTTGAGCTAAGATGGGATTACAAAAGTTAAGAGGTCCTTATCTTTTAAAGTAACGAATCGAAGTTATATTAATTCTTTGACCTTTTTTGAAGGATAACAAGACAGCAAGCACTTGCTTTAAAATTAATTAGTTTAGAAAATCGTATTTTAATAACCCTATTTTTAATTGGCCATCTATAGATGGTCCATCAATTTCAAACATAATTAATGAGTATTATTTATAAATTTTCAAGTTCTACAATGCTCTTAATATATAAAAGGTGAACTTTAAAAGAGTACACACCATTAATTACTTGTTTAATAATTCTGACATCAGCGGGCACAGAGGACGTCCATTGTATAATTGTACGTTACTACTATACCTACGTTTACACATCTTCGCAAGGATTCTGTACACAACTGTCAAGGCAATGACTGTGAAATATAGTTCCTTCATGATGTCATTTTCATTCATTGAATGTTATAAAACTAGTTTTAATATGGAAACCTTTTTGACTTTCATTTGACTGGTCATTCCACTCATATTGATGAATACAATTAAATAAATTCAATCCAATACATTAAAGATGTGTAAGGCACAAACTTTTATAAAAAAACATTTAAAGAAATAAGAACCTTCTTAGAGAATTTGTGGGATTCATTGTTATTCTAGGCATGTATCGAAGCTTTGTTCGATAGATTTTATCCAATGCTAATACTAGTAGATTTATTTACTCCAGAATCGTATAGGTGGTTTAGTCAATTGTAAAATTGGGCTCGAGATAAATAGAAGGCCTATTTCAGCCTCAATGCAAGATCGAAAACTCTATATTTTGCGTAATCGCAAGCAGTTTTATCTAGTTAAGGTGATCCTATACATTTTTTTTATTGTGCACTCATTTAGGTAGTTTATAAAAAAATATTATTATGCTTTCGGCTTACACACTTAATTGTTTGACGAGGAACTCGACTAGTTTCAAGACATGCTAGATGCTCATATTAATGAACAGTATTCCGCGACTCGCGACGCAGCGACAGTCGCACTCCTACTGATAAATATGAGCCTCTAGCATCGCTTGAAACTAGTCGAGTTCCTCGTAAAATAATTACGTAAGTAATCCAAAAACATAATTAATTTAGTATGTCTCGCGAAAGTTCCTAATAATGATGCGATTATAAAACAGTTTCCAAAATGGTCGACAACGCACTTGCGATACCTCTGGTTTTGCAAAACACTTGAGTTATGGCGACCGTACGGCCTGTACGCTATTTTCTAAAGGCTGTAGTATATTTTTTAAAACAATACGCTCAGGTTTCCGAACAGGTCATCCGCAACTTAACATTATAAGGCTTTGAGCTTGTCGTAACAAGAATCATCTAATGATGTTAGTCGAAATCGGCTTAACTTGATCGGCTTAGAGCGCAGTGACCGATGGATGACATCCTTTGCTCGTCTGACCCCAACTGTCATTGTTTTTCGAGGCAGACGAGGCGTAACTACAACATCATAACATCACGTTCGCCACGCATGGGATCAGGTTAATTCTAAGCCTGTCCCGTTTTGGTAACTTGAGTACTGAATTTGGTTAATGAGAACCGTTACTCTTGTGGTTTAAGGACCTTTGAAAATTATTTTGGAACTATGTGGCATGTCATGTGTCATGTATTCAAATTCTATAGATACGTGTGAGGCTGGCGTTTTTGCTCTGATTATTTTGAAAAGAATAACTTTGTGATTTTTTTTAAACAATCATTGGTACGATGTTGTATACTTAGCACTAGAAAGGTTTTTAAATGAACTGTTGTTTTTAACTTAACATAACATCACGTCTTTTTATTTCCGAAGGCGTTGGCAGAGGTGCACATTATGACACTTAATGCCACTGCACAATTCATGTTATGAGTCCCATGTAATAGTGGGGTGAGCCTTTTGCCATATACCGGGCACAGTTCCTGACTCCGTGCTACTACTGAGATTTTTTTTAAAAACCCAGTAGTACTTTGCCCGACCCGGGAATCGAACCCGAGCCCCTTTGCCCGGTAGTCGCACTTGCAACCACTCGACCAACGAGGCAGTCTTTACGAGATTTATTTATTTATTGATATACGCTTTATGGTACACATTTAATTAGATTAAAAACAAACAATTCAAGTAAATATGCGTACAATGGGCGGTCTTATGACACAATGGTGATTTCTTCCAGACAACCTTTGGATGGAAATATTTATACTTATAAAGCTAACACAAGACCTTTTCCAGGTGGTAACAGCGAATCCTTACGGTTACCGAGGCTACAATAATGGACCCGTACCTTATGGCTCCCCACCATTTGTGCCACCACAGGGCTACGGGCCCCCCATCCCCGTCATAATTGAAGATGATGACAGCCCCCTGGAGAAGATCCTGCCTCTACTACTGATTATGATGACTCGGTGCTGAGTTACCATAAAGAAATGTCAGGTCTAAAAACGTGTGTGTGTGTGTACCTACAAACATACACAGGTGTTGTGATATTGATCTGATTTATCTTTCTTCTTTGTTTTGTAATTAAATTTTATTAAAATGCAAATTGTTTTGTTTTATTTAATGTTCCAAATTATGTGTTAGTTTTTTAATGAACATGCAGTGGCAAAAGAACATAACATCAGGCCTTTTTCCTCGAAGGGGTAGGCAGCGGTGCACATTACGGTACTTAATGACACTATATAATGTAACACCCACTTTTCACTATTCATATTACAAGTCCTATGTAATAGGGGGTGAGCCTATTGCCATATACCGGGCACATTTCCAACCTCCGTGCTAATACTGAGAATTTATAAAAACCCAGTAATACTTTGCCCGACCCGGGAATCGAACCCGATACCCCTTGCCCGACAGTCGCATTTGCGCCCACACGGCCAACGAGGATGTTCAAAAAACATTTTTTTTTTTTAACATGCATTGGCCAATAGTAAAAGTGCAATTCTAACATATTAGGCTTCAAAGTATCATCATCCAATCAAAGGCTATGACAGTCTTAATTCTTTGCAGGTGGGAAAAGCCTGCAATGCAGAGAATGTTGCAGATGATTCCCATCTCTATAACAGAGCTTTCATTTGTTTCCAAGGAACATTATACGCAAGCAATTATTACATTTCTACCTTGACCCAACGATGTCAAATCTGTTTGGATACATTTATATTTTTTTAAACGTTGCCCCACAGTAGGATTGTCTCCTGTGTCGTGGGTGCGTTTACAAACATACAAGTTCACATACACATTACACCCAGACCCGAAACAACAATTTGTGGATCACACAAAGAGTGGCTCCGTGCCGAAATAGAATCCGCGGCACGTTGCACGGCAGCCGGTTTTCCAGATACTGCACCAACCGTGCCAATCATATCTAAACTCTATCTGTAGAAGCAAAATCCACCGAGAGATATATTATTTAATTCTGATATCGACTGCACGGTTGGTGCGGTGGCTGGGCAACCGGCTGCCGTGCAACGTGTCGCGGGTTCGATTCCCGCACGGAACAACACTTTGTGTGATCTACAAATTGTTGTTTCGGGTCTGGGTGTCATTGTATATGTGAACTTGTATGTTTGTAAACGCACCCACGACACAGGAGAAAATCCTAGTGTGGGGCAAAGTTTAAAAAAAAAAAAAAAAAAAAAAAAAAAAAAAAAAAAAAAAAAATTCAGACTAGTGTTAATTCAACACAAAATTTTAAGCATTACAGTAAAGTCAGTAAAGGTGCTTCAAGTAAGATATGTATGACTAGCTACTTCCGCGCTGTTTCACACGCTCTGCTCAGCTCCTATTGGTCGTAGCGTGGTGTTTTATAGCCTATAGCCATCCTCGATAAATGCGCTATCCAAGACAAAAATAATTATTCAAATCAGACTTGTAGTTACGGAGATTACTTTTCCGCTTTATAATAGTATAAGAGTATAAGATGATAGCTAGTCTGTACTTTCAAGAACCTTTATCTCATCATAATCACGCTTCATACTCCCATCTTCCAATCACTGGAAATCTAAGAATAGACAAAGTATATCAATAACGTATTTACTTACATAATAATACGTGACAATGTAATCAGATGTTAAGTAATTTTGGAGGGTTATTGATAAACTAATAGTTGTTCGACGAATATTACTAATATCATTGATATAGTTCTGATGGCGGTATATAAGACTGGTTGATTACTGTCGTATAATATACACCATTTACGATGAGTTCCTTCGCGTGGCTCGCTTGCTTCATTGCCCTCTCCAACGTAAGTTGTTAACTGTTTCCATGTTTTATTTTCTTGTACAAAATTACCATGAATAGATTTCACATACTACTTTTCTATTTCTTTTGTTCATTATAGTTAAATGGATATGTAAACAAATCTATCGTCAAGTAAGACGCATTACGTTTGCTTATTAACAAATTGTGTTGACTTACAGGTCGTCCTGATCCAGGCCCAGTATGGTGGCTCCCAAGGCTACCCTGGCTATGGTGCCCCTCCGCCTTACCCCATCATAGTGAAGTCTGGCAACGATGATGACGGTATGAAGCACATACTGCCGATTCTTCTTCTCTTGCTATGTGACAATGGTGGTTTTGGCGGATGTGGTGGTTGCGGCGGATTTGGAGGCGGTTGCGGTGGCGGATGTGGTGGTGGATGCGGCAATGGCGGAGGACAAAACATTCCCATCCCTTATCCCATCCCTATTCCTATCAACAGCCCTGTTATCACTAATAACTAATTTCACAGAATGTATTTTCATATTTTTTTGTCAACACTTTTTACGTTATACAAAATTCACACTCGATATCACAAATCTGTTAAATTGTCGCGGTAAATTCTGTTGTATTCTCTTCCATTACCCTTTTCGTATTATTTACATGTTCCATTTTGTTCGACTGTATATTTTGTGAAATATATGTTTTACGTAAATATATTGATGTTTTGTATTGCTCCCTTTAAGTAGCATGGTTACAAAGAATAGTTTGTAAATTGAGTAACTAGGGGCTACCGCGAAGTAATATTTCTAATTAAAAATATTGGGTATCTTTTTAAAACGTGTCAAAGTTAGTAAGGGTCTATTACATCATACGTTTAGTAAACAGTTCAGGTTTAGAAACACATAGTATATATAGACCACGCGACGTGTCATTGATCACACGTCAACTTCCAAAATGGGTCTAAAGAACCTTGTGGTGTTCGCTGCATTCTTATTGTGTTTGGAGGTAAGCTCATTTTAATTTAATCTACTTTTCTGTTTTTCGTATAAGAATATGATACAAGTGTAATAAGTCAAGAATCAAATCAATGTTTATTAAAGAAAAAAAAACACAGTGCGATATTTTTGTTAAAACTCGTATATTTTTTTCTCCAGCTATGCAGGGTGCATGGTCAAGCAGCCCGCGTTGAGTACCTCAACCCACCGAATCCGTCGACAGTAACTACAACCATTCAGGCTTCGCCAGGATCACCGTACTACATCCAAGAGTCCATCCCTATCACACCTAGTTACAACCCTGGCTACCCTACCGTTGCGCCCAGCTTCGCCCCCAGCTTCCCCCCCAGCTTTCCTGGACCAATGGCTCCCATCATTATTGACGACGACGATGATGACAACTGGCATCACATTCTCTATTACCTTCTCTTCGCTATGAGAAATAGGAGAGGTGGTTGCGGCTGCGGAGGTGCGGGCAACGGTGGATGCAATAGCGGTTGTGGGGGCGGATGTGGTGGCAATTGCAACGGCGGATGTAGCACAGGCTACAACAATGGTTATGGTGGTATTGGATTAAATAATGGATGTGGATGCGGAAACAGTTGTGGTGGAAACTGTGGAGGATACGACATTGGATTCAGTGGAAATAATGGATGCGGATGTTCTTCTTACATTCCCTACCCAATCCCTTACCCCTTGGCCAGCCCCTTCCCATTTGGCTTCCCAGGTTTTGGAGGATTCTCTGAGAACCCTTTCCCTAACTCTGATGAACCCTCCCCCAACCAACCAAGCCAGAATCCCAACGAAATTACTGTCTTGTTTAGGACTGATTGTAATTGTAATTAAATGCAATGAACAATGGATCATAAATATTGTGATTGGTAAATAAATGAGTATTTAAATACTTAATTCGTTTGTGTTGAAATCGTTTTGAATAACCTTATTGAATGTGAGATGACCGAATACCTTCTACTATAAACATAAATTTTCTACCACAAATTTATGAATAAATTGAACTTTATCTACCATAAAATGAAAGATCACTTTTAACGTATCTTTCGGTTGACTGAAAAAGCAACAACGAACTGTCAACCTTCGCCAACGTCCTTGATTTTCTCATAATAATCATTTGGTGTTCTAATTATTATGAAACGTCTTATGACCTATTTGTGTATTGGTGCCACGAAGAGGTAATATAAACATAAATTTTACGAGTCTATCGCCATATGGAATAGTGAGGACGACGAGATGACTCGATTACAGAAAATAACATTCAACGTATTGCTACTGGTAATACAGGTCAGTGTACACTTTCATAATACAGAAATATAAACTAAATACAAAAAATATATAGGACCCTGAAAATATAATGGTAATTCCACTTCTTGAATAAATAAAGTAATCGACGAAAGATAATTATTTGATCGTTGTAATAATAATGATCTTTATTAAAACATCTTTCTATCATTTTCATCCTGAAAATGCGGAAACGTGAGCTTTCCTGGTTTTTCTTACCTTTTTTTACCTCATTATTCAAAGCTGTCATCAGCGTTATTGCAAGAGAATTATCCTCAATATTTCCTCTTAAGGCAATGCGCCTTGATACTGTTAATTACACTCATTTTGTACATAATTAACATTACAGAACTCGTAGCTTTGTGTAGCAAGTAATAAGAATGATGTTTTCACTAAGAAAAGTATCAGATGAAAATGCTACCGGGAACAATTCTTATTTTCTTCACAAATGAAATAATGAAACTAGCGTGATAAAAAGTAATGTTTATGTTACGTTCGTGCCTTCTAGCCTATTCCCCGAGGTTTTCTTTGGAAACAGTCTTCATTTTGCGTAATTTTCATTGAAACCGTGTTTGTTATTATTTCTATTAATTGAAACCATTATTGTACAAATCGTTTACAATGCTTCGATCGTTCAATTTATTATTAATGTCTAACTAATTATTGAAATTGTTTCAGCTCAATTTATATACATGTAAACCATGTATTCGAACATTATGTAACACATATTCGTCTCTCTGTGGCAATCGAGATTGCTGGCCATATAGCAACTTGAATGGCCCAAACTGCAATCCATACTGCAACTCAAACTGCTTTCAATGCTCTTATGACCCAACCTGCAACATATACAGCAACGGTTACGGCAACCCTGGATGCTTTTGTGAACGCTGCAACAACCAATATCTGAATCCTACCTCATATGGGTATGATACCTTGCCTCAACCAGGATTCGATGGTTACAACTCACCTTACTGGCAACCACCGCCAATATACCAACAACCACCGATCAACCAGCCGCCAATCATCATAATAAATGATGATGACGACGATGATGACCGTTGTCTAACTGACGATATTCTGGGACTATTACTGACTTCGCTATTTAATAATAATAATAATGCGATCCCTCCCCCTCCTACCAACCCTAGTAATTGCGGATGTTGCAACTGTAACAATAATAATTGCAATTGTGGCAACGGGTGTAATAATAGCAATGATAAAAATTGCAACAGTGGCAATAAATGCAGTACAACTGTGCAGATTACTATTGTCTTGCCTAAAAGTGATAATGCTACGAAACCGACTATTACTATATCGTAATGTAAACGAAATTGTTTCGAAAAGTTTCATTATTTTAATTTAGTCGAGTATTGTGTAAACATTAAATGATAAGTTTATTGTAAATTGTATTTTATTAATTAAATATTTTTATTGACACGTGTCTTAATTATTTATACTTTTAATTTATGAATGTTAATTCAATTGATTTTCACTATTACTATAATAATATTGTGATTACAAATCAAAATAATAATAATACCTATTTAATATAAAATCATCAGTTGGTGTTAACTTTTAATGATTTTTTTTACAGTCATCTTTATTAGTAAAACACCATTTAGATTGATAAAATAACATTTAAACAACTTTGAAAGGGTTCCTCAACTCCTCATTCATATGTTTGTGTATTTAATACATATAATCCAAAATAAAACAAGTTTTTGAAGACGATTAATGGCCAACAAAATCTTAGTAGTAGCACGGAGTCTGGGATTGTGCCCGGTATATGGCAATAGGCTCACCCCCTATTACATGAGACTCATAACATAAATAGTGAAAGGTGGGTGTTACATTGTACAGTGGCATAATGTACACCTCTGCCTACCCCTTCGGGGATAAAAGGCGTGATGTTATGTTATGTTATGTTATGTTACAGTTTTAGAGGCTCATCCCCTATTACATGAGACTAACAACAGAAATAGTGAAAAGTGGGTTTTACATTGTACAGTGGCATTAAGTGCCGAAATGTGCACCTCTGCCTACCCCTTCGAAGATAAAAAGGCGTGATGTTATGTTATGTTTGTTTCTTTTGAAAAACCATTCAATGGCTTCTGACGCCCTGTGTGTGAAGAGAGGGAGTGTCAGTCCTTACTGACTAAAGTAACTGCACCATTCTTAATCCTGCTTCGAGCTGAAGTCCCTTAACTTATTGATAATTATTATGAATACAGACATTACGGGTCTATTACCTTATTATACCTGGCAGGTATTATTTAGGCTAAGCTAGTGTGAAACTTAAAGATTTGATAACCAAAACATTAATTTAAATGTGCCCAACCTTGCAATCAAACCATCCGTTTACCACTAGACTAATAAATAAATCAATCAGTTACGAGGTAAATTCTCATACCTACTATAAATAGACCATGATTATCCAACAATTAATCTTCAAAGCTCAAAATCGTATTCTCAAAGTAATATTTACATTGGATCCCACGGTTGGAATAATGTCAAACATCGAGGTTTCGCTTCGCACTTTAGTGTACTTCCACTGAAACAGACAGGGTAAATATAACTATTTCTACTATTATTGTTCTATTCAAGAAGATGTTTCATTGGTTGAAGATCTTAATTACTTTTAAGACTTATAGGTTACATTGTTAATCCAAGTACGCTGAAGATACTGAGCCGCGGAGGGTTTTTTATAAGACAAAAACAACTGGAGATCGGTTCGATGTAAGATTTTTAGACGTTTCATGAGCTTGGAGCTTAGGCAGATATATTTTTTTTAGTGTGGAAAATAATCCAATGACTTCTCCTGCCCGGTGAGGCGAGAAAGAATGTCAAACTCTTTCTGACTAAAAACCAACCTGTTCCTACTCCTGTACTTCGAGCCGGAGCCAGCTAAGCTAAGCCAGATATGGAAGCAAAACTTTTGACTTTGTTTAATTTTGACTAACAATTACAATTAACCTCGAGAAAACTATCTCTAGGAATAAGTACCGCATTCTATTTTCATTGTAAAAATGTATAAATTAAAATTAAGAAATAGTTTCTAATCAAGGAGCTACGTGCTTAATATGGCACATATACCTATTTACGAAACTAGGGATTGGGTAACAATAGCTTGATATAGAACATGAAAATATATAAAAGTAGGTATTGTTTTGTAAAGGGATATTCAGTCAACATGGCTTCAGCTAAGTTTGTAGTATTCGCAGCTCTATTGA